AGTACATTCTTCCTTCTACTCTGCCTTCCCAAGACTTCTCCCATCTCCTATGGAACTGGGCTTGTACCATTTTAGCTGTTAGGGTTAACCGTCTTAGCCTTAACACCTACAGGACCACCCACCTCGGGCGGAGGACTTTCATAATTGAAATCCCTGATTCCAATCCACACTTAAACTCATGCTGACTCTCTGACCTCTTTTCAGCATAGATATAGATTACGCCAATCTCTTTTTAAATCCTGCTCCCACTCTTCATTTGCTAGCCCCAGCTAAAGTTAGAAAGAAAACTGAATTCCTCGGATAATTTTTCAGTTTCAGCCACCCCTATCCGAAAACTGAATGCTTGCTACCAACTTCCCCAAGTTAGAAATAAACATGCTTTTTTTCTTTCTCCCACAGTTGTCGTGTCGGCACAGACTACCTCTCCCCATTTCATCTGTTCAACGGAGTGCAGTGGTAAGTATATTGATGTCGGCACTAACTTGGTTTACACCTAATAAGATCCTGTAACTGCCTAAAGTCTGAAGAATTGGAACTGCTATTCATTTAGATGAGCGGCGTGTTCTGATCCTACGCGGACTAAAATTACCAACAGAGACAAGGGAGACTGGACTGGCCATTCCTGGTCTATCAGTCCTCTGCAGTTGACCCTACCCAACCCAACGTATGGCAAACGCCGGGTTCGGATTCACGACCAGCTGGTTATATGTCCAACCACGGGCTCTTTGCCCTATCGGTTGCAACCGAGTCTATTAACGGTATTGGAAGGGCGCTTATCAATATTTACAGAAGTTGACGGCAGAAAGTTCCCCAGATTAGAAGTCAGGGAAGACTGATCAGTCCGAACAGTGCTTACTCTAAGAGAGAATTTAAAAGGGGGCTGTACAGAAGGGTGCTGCTCAGAGTGCTCTTAGGTCAGTTGTTGTGCTTGTGTGTGTGTGTGTTTGCACGTGAGCGCGGAGTTAAAGGAACTCAGGACTTTGCCTTTGTTGCTAGCAGCCAATCAGGAAATGGTGCAGGCTGATTGGCTTCGAGCTCTCATCTGGTAGTCACCCAACTTTGAACGAGAGATGGCCAGTGAGGACGGCATTTACAGCGGACTGAACAAGAGCGCGAGCGCAGATAGTCACGTGCTACTGCAGGGCTCGGCAGCAGAAGAAGAAAGGGTGAGTCAGCGCAGCGACACCAGTCACGGACTGCAAAACCCTCGCTGGTCGAGATCTGGGTTCATCCGCAGGAATTACAACACCAACGTTTGGGTATGGATAGCTTACCACGACTGATCACCCCGAAATGCTCACTCCAGTATCGTTTATGTTTATCAGTAAAGCAATTCTCTCTCAATCATTAACCATTTTGTGGGACTCGAGCCCGAGTCCTAAGGAAAAAACGGAACGCGTGTATTTTGTACCGCGCTTGGTTAGCGCCCCTCTACCATTGTTTAGCTTATTCCTCAATTTTCTTTCAAGACAAATACGAAAACTAGGCGAGCGGAGTTATAATAAACAACTTCAGATTGTCGATGTCGGAGCTCACAAGTTGAGAATTAAACTGTTGTTCACTCACATCGTAGTCTCTTTTATATGCACACTGAAACCATTTTGTGGGGAGGGGGAGTGGACAGGGAATTCGAATAAATTTATACACAACTGTGACCACCTATTCGGCTTTAATTAACCGGATCAGTAACGGTCCACTGTTCCCATGATCTGACCGAATTCAGTCTGTGATTGGCTGCCTGTTCGTGACGCGTGCCGAGGCAAATATGAACTTCGGCTCGATACAGTGTTTATGCCCCACCTGCTGAACCCAGTCGATGGACTATTTACGCCACTTACGAGCGCATCTTGATGGTTCCGGTCCCAGCTGGTAATCAAGAATGCAAGAATGCCGAACCTCAATCCACACATCCTGTTTGTTATGATTTTTTTACAAAGCCATATGCACAAACGCGTACATTTTTACTCGGTGTATCTGCCTCTTTTATAGAACAGGAGGCTGGACCGACCAGCAACTACAATTTCTCCATTGTTCATCGCCTAACCTCCGCAGTGAACGAGCGGGCCGCTCTGGTGTTTCTGCTCACGGGCACGGTTACTGTACAGGGCTATGCTGGCTGCAATTACGAACTGCGGGTGAGTTGAAACTCTTTCCGTTCTAGCCACCCATGCGGCCACTGAGGAGGTTTCATCCCCTTTGGCGTGGCG